CAGCTTTGTGAGCCTGTGAGGGTGTTTGGCGCCGTGGGCTACGCGTTTTCTCAGGGCGCAGGTTCTCCTCCCCTTTGAGGCCTCATTGAGTGGGAGGCGAGACACACACAAGTGTTGAAACCCAGCAAAGACTCTTAACGGGGGATCACTTGGCTCGTGGGTCGAGGAAGACCGCGGCAAGAAGCGAAGTTTTGGTGGCTATCGCAATTCTCCCGTGATTCCATCGACGTGTCGAACGCACATTGCGGCGGCCCTGTGCCTTCTTCGAAGGACGGCTGCCACCTTCCCTCGAGTGTCGTGACGTTGCCTCCCGGGACACAGTACGGACGGCTGCGGGGGATATGTGCTCAACAGCAGCCAGCCCCCCGCCCGTTCTCCGGGAAGGCCGCTACGAGAATCTCTTGAGAGTGAGGCGAAACAGCGCCGTGTTTGGTTCCCCCCCCCCCCCCCCCTTCTTTCCGGCCGCTCTCCTTTCTCCCTACCTCTCTCCCTCCCTGCCTCCCTGTTTGTTCCCTGTTCCCTCCTGGAAGGGGGGGGACCGGGTCTGGCTGGCGGGCTGGTGACGAGTAGTGGGCTGAGGAGGTCGAGCAGCGGCCCCGGGCCGGGCGGGTTCCGCAAAAGCACCAACGGCGAGGCCTTTATCCTCGACCGTGCCGGAGGTTCGGGGGCGGCGGCTATGGCGGCACGTGTGGCTGCTGCTGCTGCTGCTGCCCCTCGCGCCAACGATTCCGCCCTGGGGAGTTCGCCGGACCTGGAGGGACGCAGGTCCCGCGTCCGGACGTTCCCTGAAGACGTGGAGGGTTTGCTCTCTCTTCCGTCGCTGTTGGCGCGGATGGCCAGTCCTCCCCCTGGCCCCCCGCGCCGGCCATGCCTGCCTGCCAGCCATTGGGCCCCAGTGTGGGATTAACGTGCCGTAAGGCCGGAGAGGCGCTCCCCCGAAGCCGACCAAACCAGCCGGCCAGTCCCGCGTGCTCGCTGCCTGCCCCCCTTGCCCGTACCCCCAGGGGAACGTTCGGTTGGGGGGGCAAAGCGGGCGGCTCGGCCGTGCTTGGAGGGGCAAGGGCGCATCCTGAGAGCGCTAGAGAGCGCGCACGGGACCTCTCCGCGCCTGAAAAAGCCAACGTGGAGTCTCGGGCCCTCTTGGTGGGCAGACAGGGCGAGGAAGGAAAGAAAGAAAGAAAGAAAGAGAAAAAGCCAGATTGAACGAGAGCGAAATGAGCCCAGCTTGTATACCACAAAGGGAGCAAGAGATTCCATTCCTTGCTCACGTCGACCTCGAGTGGAGGGAGATGACCCGCCTAATTTAAGCATATTAATCAGCGGAGGAAAAGAAACCAACCGGGATTCCCTGAGTAAGTGCGACCGAAACGGGAAGAGCCCAGCGCAAAGCCTCGCGTCCCCTTCGCGGGGGGCTCGAGGGGTGCTGCGTTCGGGAGAGGTCCTGCACGCGCTCCCGAGCCGCCTAAGTTGTTCATGAATGACTCTCATACCCAGGGAGGGTGTCAGGCCCGTGTGGCGGAAAGAGACTTCCTCCTCCTCGTTCGCGGGGAGGGGGGTTTCGGGAGTGCGGAACGGGCCTCTCCTTAGAGTCGGGTTGCCTGAAACCGCAACCTAAAGCAGGTGGTAAACTCCATCTAAGGCTAAATATGACCACGAGACCGATAGCGAACAAGTACCGTGAGGGAAAGTTGAAACAGAACCCTGTAGAGAGAGTTCAAGAGAACGTGAAACCGTTAAGAGGCTAAACGGGCGGAGATTCGAAGATCGAACTGGGGGGATTCAGTTCGTCGGCCTGCCGGGAGACGGTAGCGGGCGTGTTGCGACTTCCCGTTCCGGAGGCCTCGTGCCGAAGGAGCCTTGAGTGGGGAGCGCCGCCCGCCGCCTGCCCGGCGCCGGCGGGCGATCTTCCCCCCGCAGTAGGTCGCCGCGACGCGTTGGGATGATGGGCGTCTGAGGCCCGGGTCCTGGTAGGAACCGGCGGCGCGTTCGGCCCTTCCTTGCTCGACTCGTCGGGCGGGGTTGGTCGTTTTCCAGCGCGCCCGTCCGGGGATCCCCCGGTGCCCTCGTCTTGCTCCCCCGACGGTCTCTCCTCCGGGGCCGTCCGAGATCGGGGGTGGGGTCCGAGGCCGCGGTCGAGCCTAGCCTCCTCCTTTCGGGGGGGTCGTCTGGCTTCCCGCGCTTCCCCTTCCCCCACTCGGTCCTTGTGCTGGCCCTCGCGGCGTGCAAAGAGTCGGTACTCCTCCCGACCCGTCTTGAAACACGGACCAAGGAGTCCAACATGTATGCGAGTCAATGGGCGCACTAAACCCACGGGCGCAATGAAAGTGATCGGGCCGATCCCACGGAGCAGCGGGCGGCCGCGCGCACCCGGACGGAGTGACCGACTTTCCTCCCCGGGACGGCGCGGGTCCCCTCCCGCTCCCGCACGCCCGCGCCCGCCTTCACCGGCGGGCCGGGGGGGCGCAGGTCCGGGACTCGCCATGACGAACGGTCGCCTCTCCGCTTCGCGGCGGTAGGGCCGCGGCCGGATGTGTCGGCGGGTACCCAGAGCATAGATGTTGGGACCCGAAAGATAGTGAACTATGCTTGGCCAGGATGAAGCCAGGGGAAACCCTGGTGGAGGTCCGAAGCGTTTCTGACGTGCAAATCGATCGCCAGAGCTGAGTATAGGGGCGAAAGACCAATCGAACTATCTAGTAGCTGGTTCCCTCCGAAGTTTCCCTCAGGATAGCTGGCACTCGCATCGAACGAGTTCCATCCGGTAAAGCGAATGACTAGGGGTGTTGGGGACGAAATGTCCTCAGCCCATTCTCAAACTTTAAATGGGTGAGGTGCCGGGCTTGCTTCGCTGAAGCCCCGGACGAGAATCGGAGTGCCTAGTGGGCCAATTTTGGTAAGCAGAACTGGCGCTGTGGGATGAACCAAACGTCGAGTTAAGGGGCCTAAATGGATGCTAATTCCGATCCCATGGAAGGGAGTTGCTTGCTATAGACAGCAGGACGGTGGCCATGGAAGTTGGAATCCGCTAAGGAGTGTGTAACAACTCACCTGCCGAAGCAAGTAACCCCGAAAATGGCATGGCGCTCAAGCATCCTCCCGATACTCGACCGCCGGGCGCACTATGGGCTGCGTCGAGGAGGTCTCGAGGCCCCGGCGAGTAGGAGGGCGCGGTGGTGAGCGTAGAAGGATACGGCGCGAGCCGGTCTGGAGCCGCCACTGGTGCGGATCTTGGTGGTAGTAGCAAATGCTCGAGCAAGCCGAACCCTCGTTGACCGAAGCGGAGGAGGGTTCCCCGCCAACATCGCTTGGTCGTGGATAAGTCGGCCCTTAGCCCGAGGATAGCTTCCCTCCGATCCCCTGGAAAACGCCACAAAACAGTAGAGCACAGCCGAAAGACTCCCTGTTTTGGAGAGAGAGAGAGAGAGAGGAGCGAGATTGGGGGCCCTAGGCGGCGGCACGAGCCCGCCCTCCCCCCTTCTTCCCCTTGCTGCCGCTTTGCGGCAGCGGTAAAGGGGGAGGAGGAGGTGGAGGAGGAGGCTTGTCGGCGCCGGAGGAGGAGGCGGCAGCAGCAGCAGCCTCTTCCGGTGTCTTGGCTTGGCCGTCCGACGACGGCCGGTCACGCCCCCGGGGACACCCCTTCCTCCTGAAAGCCTCCTCTCGCAGCAATTTGTCTGGATCCAAAACGAACAAAAAAGGAGAAAGAGAAAAAAGAAAGAAAGCCAAAAGAAACGGTCCAGTCAGATTTCGGGCTAAAGGGAATACGGTTAAAATCCCGTGACCTGCCCTGTGGCAAAGACAGACCCGTGCGTGGGAAAGACAATGTTTTGTCGTGCGGGTGGCCGTCTGACCATTGCCGGCGGCATGGGCGGCGGCGGCGGCGGATGATTCTGCGGCCGCTGCTGCTGCTGCCGTCGCGCGGTCACGACGATCCTCCTCCCGCCCCCCCCTTCTGTGAGAGGGCTTTCTCTGAAGAGAGTGGGAGTCGACGACCCCCCCCCCTCCTGCCCCCCCTTCCCCTCCCCCCGCGGGGAGGCGGAAACGGCGGCGGCGGCGGCGGCGGACGACGACCACCGCTCTCTTGCCGACCTCGCCGGTCTCGCCCGCTTGCGGGCTTGGAGACCCCCTAACCGTGACGGTGTGTACTACGACCTCCCCTTCGCTCTCGGAGTAAGCGCCTCCCTCCTCTTCCTCCTCGGAAAACCGGCGTGGAAAAGAATCTCCCCCTGCCTCCTCCCACCCTGCTTGTTGTGGTCGGGTCGGGTCGGTCGAGGGGTTTGACGATTGGCTTCCACCGCCACGGCTTCCGGGAGAGCTTTGAGAAGAGAAAGAAAGAGCAAAAGAGAGTGCGCGGGCGCGCTGGCAGCCAGCCCCCCTTTGAATCTCGAATCTTAGATCCGGTGGTCCGGAGGCCAGTGTGTGTGCTTGGCAACAGGCGTACTCGTTCGCCGACGCCGGCGGTAGCCCGGGGAAGAGCTTTCTTCTCTTTTTTAGGCTGCTGGAGGCCCCCAAGTTCGTTCACTTTGAGTGGGGGTCGTTGGCCGTAACAGCCATACGTGAGATTGTGATCTGTTGGGAGCAATCCTCGCTGTTGCGATCGCCACCGGTTCGCCGTAGAGCACCGCGCAAATAAGCGCTTGGTGTCCCGTGCGCTACCGCCGGCCCTTGAAAAGGTGGATAGGGTAAACCCCCTCCGGTACCAACCAACCAACCAAACCAAGAGAGAGAAAAAACGAAAACGATGATGATGAGGGGGGCGGCGGCATTGTGCGCGGCTCCGCAATGCGCTTCTCGCTTTGCTCGTCGAACGCTCCAGGCCGAAAGGAGAGCGATCCCTGTGGGGTGGAGGTCGAGAGGACACGCGCCGCCGCCGCAGGGGCGGTGGTGGTTATTTAAAACCTTTAAAACCTAGGCAGGTCTTCTAGCAGAGAACGGGCCCTCGGGAGTTTTCTTGAGATGCCAACCCAGCACGCCCGCGTCGCGGGGGGGCAGTCCGTACCTTACTCCGCAGCAGGTCTCCAAGGTGTTCAGCCTCTGGTCGATAGATCAATGTAGGTAAGGGAAGTCGGCAAGTTAGATCCGTAACTTCGGGACAAGGATTGGCTCTGAGGGTCGAGCCATGCCGGGCCCACAGCCGGAAGCGGTCCCTCGTTCTCCTGGCGGGCGGCCGCCGGCGACGCGCGGAGGCGGCGGCGAGGAGGGGACCCAAGGGTGCCCGCGGCATCGGCGGCCTGCGGCGCCGCGGCGCTTCGGCCCGCTCCGAGGGAGAAGGACTGGGCGAGGGGCGGCCTCTCACGAGGTCGCTCCGAGCTCGGACCCGACCCCGCAGGGGCGGTCGCCGGGCCCGCGGCCGCTCTGCGCTCCACCGCCGCCGGGTGCCCTCCCCTCCGCTCGAGCCGCGCAGCCCGAGCGCCCGCCGGCAGCAGGTGCCCCCGCCGTCGCGGGTCGGGACCAACGCGGAAGGCGCCTCTCGGGCAAAGGCCGGGGTTTCCCTCCCGTTTCCCCGGCCGCGGCTGGCAACAGACGGCCGTCTCAGAACTGGCACGGACCAGGGGAATCCGACTGTTTAATTAAAACAAAGCAATGCGATGGTCGGTGATCGATGCTGACGCATTGTGATTTC